TCCAAAGAATTGTGGATTATTGGCGTGACAGTGTCAACAGACAGACTTCATCTTGGAGTCTGGTGGGGTTTCATGGGGAAATTATACCATACCCAGTTCTCCAGTACATTGTGTTTTCAAAGAGACGTAGCTGCTCCATTGTTGCTTTTCTCCCCCTAGGGTTCTTAATATACTTTCATTATTTATATTTTTAATTGTGTGAAAGTACCCAGGGGCTTTGTGGCAAAAGAAGACAGTTGCAAAAATTGAATAAATAAATAAATTAAAATTTAAAAAAATTCCGAGTTAGTGATGTCTGACTTCCTCTATTCATATTATTGCTACTGTTGTTGCTTTTTGGTTTTTGTTTTGCTTCTTGACTGTTGTTGTTTTCCAGGAAAGCTGTCATTTATCGTGAGAACAAGAGCAGCCATGTGTTGATTTTTCTGGATTCTTTTTGGATACTCTCCCAGTGCTAATGAAGGCCCTTCCAAAGTGCTAAAGAGCTGGTGCCAAAATCAGCTCCACTGAAAACAATAGAAGAGTGTAGTACCCAGACAGCGTGTACACCAGTATACGTACACACTCACATCGAGATTCATGTTAGTACACAGGTGCATGTACACACACATGCACTCTCATACGGACACACAGTGTGTGTGAGCAGTATATTCATGAAAGCAATTTTTGTATTTTCTTGCAAGAAAAATGTTCTTTGATCAAATGACGAGATTGTAGATTTTGCAGTCTCTAGTTTGTCAGTGGGGAAGCTGCTGTAAATACACATTCTTCAGTTTACAGCATGTGAGCTCGCGGTGGCATTGTGGTACAGCAGACACCTGCATCCCACACCGGAGTGCCAGAATTGGAGTCCTGGCTCTGCTTGCCAGTTCCACTTCCTTCTCACACATACCCTGGAAGGCAGCAGGTGATGGCTCAAGTACTTGAGCCCCTGCCACCCATGTAGGAGACCTGGATGGAGTTCCAGGCTCCTTCCTGACTTCTGCCTGGCCCACCCCTGGACTACTGCCTGCATTTGGGGAGCAAATAAGCCCTTAGGAGATCTCTATCTCTCTCTGCATTGCTGACTTTCAAATAAATAAACATCTAACAAAAAAAACCTGGGTGGGAATGTAAACACAACGATAGATCTTTTTATTAAGAGACAGGGATTCACCCACAAGAAAGCGCTTAGACTGGGCCTGGATGCCGGATTTACTCGAATGAAGCTTCCAGTGCTGATTTCTGAGTACTTTTGAGGCAGTGTATTAGCTTGAAAGGGGACATTTTGTAGCCATTGCTCTCTCCGCCCTCAGTAGGCTGTCCCCGCCTCTCTCTCAGTGGGTAATTATTCTCTCCTCAATTTGTTTACACAGCTTGGAGATGGGGACAGAGTTCTCTGGCGACCGTGCAACCGAGTGCAATCACCCTAAAGAGAAGCATTTAGAAGCTATAAAACCTAAATACCACGCCATGCACCATTACATCGCACAGTTACTCAAATTTAGTAAATTAAATTAAATAATCTCAAATAACTTGATTTCTGGGCTTTAAAAATTCATCTCTATGGTGCCCAGTAGTCAATTTCCTTTATTATTATTGTTCATCAAGTACAATTTATGTTTTTTATGAATCAAAGTCCTCGCCTGCCCTGCCGTCCTCAGCCGCCCGCGGCTCGCCGGGCCCAGCCGGTGGCTCGGGGCGCCACCTGCCGGCCGCTTCTGGCACCGCGGCCCGGGGACCTCCCGACCACCTGCCGCCGGCCGGGGAGTTGCGGGGGCGGTGGGGGGTTGGTGCAGAGCGGCAGGGAAAGCCAGGGTGGCCGCATCATACAGACGCTGCAGAAATCACAGGCGGCACGGGGCTCTCGGCTACTGCGCTAACTGCTCCCTTGGGCTTTCTCATTGAGGGTCGGCTTGAAGTCTCGGGAACAGCCCAGAGAGACTGGCTGCTGCAAATCCAACACGTTTGGTCGTGTTCCGTGGCTCCCATTCTTCTTTATTAAAGTCCAGATGATCTAATTGAGCTGCGGTTTGTCCGGCATGTCAGGAAAGCCTGTCCTTCTTATCCCAAAGCCTTCCCCTGCTCACGCACGCTGCTGTTTGCAGGCGACATTCGCAGTGTCATAGACAGTGCAGCCGGACGGCCCTTAGATAAAGACAATGACCAGTGTTGCCATGTGTTGTGTTTCACAAGAGACTGTCTTATTTCAGAGCGCTCCTTCCCCTTTAACATTTGGGACACGGTGTCAAATTGAGGTGGACGCGGGGCAGCGTAAGCCTCATGTCATTTAAGAGGCTGGTTTAAATTTTTGTCGATTAAATTATAGTTTAGCAAATCGTCAAGATGTAGGCTGTGTGACAAGAGCTGTGTGAGTTGAAGGGGAGGGGCTATCCCTTGAAAACAGCTTGAGAATATTCCTTCCTTCAAACTTCCGTTTCGCCTTTGTTTGATCTGTCTCGCTTTGGTAAAGTTACACAAACGTGCACTCAGCGCTCTCTCACCTTCTGAAGAATATAATAATCGGAGCTTCCCTACAGCCTCCCAGGAACTTCCTTTCCTCCTCTAGGTTTCTAAGCTCAGGGCTCAGAGGAGGTGCATTTCTGAGTTCCAGAGTGCCTTGCGCTTGTCTCCGGCTCTTGTCCCAACTGCCCGGTCTTGTTTCAACACAGCAACAGATGGTGGTGTAGGCTTTTTGCTGAGTTCAGGATGGTCTGTTTGTGCTTTCTCAGGAGGACTGTGATGATACGTTCGCTTTGCCACGAATTTCTTTGAGTGAGAACATACGAACGAAGAGGTTTCAAAAAATTCGTGGAAAGTGGAGTTAAAACATAAGTTTACTTTGGTGCAAAAAATGTTGGAGTCTGTGTATTGTTTTTCTATACTATGCATTGTCCATAATTATTTTTTATTTGAAAGGGGGAAAGAGAGAGAGAGGGAGAGAGAGAGAAAGAGAGGAAGAGAGGGAGAGAGAGAGAGAGAGAGAGAGAGAGAGAGAGATTGATTGTCTATGTACTGATTCATTCCCCAAATGCCTACAACAGTCAGGGCTGGGTCAGGCTGAAGTAGGGAACCAGAAATTCAATCTTCATCCCCCTTGTGGGTGGCAGGGACCCAACCACATGAATTATCATCTGCTGCCTTCCCAGGCAGGGAGCTGGAATCAGAAGCAGAGCTGAGACTCAAACCCAGACACCATCAGAACCAAGCACCCACCCCTCCACAAACCTTGTGAGTATCCCTCCTATGACCCCCTCGAAAAAGTTCAGTGCACGTCCCGAGTCCCATGGCTTAGTATTGTTCATGCATTTTTCTCATCTTCGAAAGGAGCTCGTCTTCCCTGACCTTCGAAGGAAAACTGTCCCCCTGCCTTACCCCGCCATTCCCGTATACCCAAGCATTTTCTTTAGATGTTTGTGCAGAAAAGAAATGCAAGGCACAAGTTGCCAGACCAGAAGCAAAAGCCCACAGTTTGTGGTTCTTTTGCACATGAGAGGCTACAAATCCCAAGATTTGAAGATCGTTATGTTCTACAAGCAAGAGTCAAACCTAAGTAAAATCCTTCATTTGAGGCAGGAAGAGCTGACCAGGAGGTGCTAGGGGGCTTGTTCCTGGGGTTGCACCTGACAGAGAAATCCCAGACTGCCTTGGAGCCTTCCTCCTTGCTGCTGGGTGGTGTGAGGAAGCACCGAAGACTATTTTGCTTGTGTTTGGAGCTCAAGAGGGCATCCTCTTACCTTCCCCTGTTAACTGAAGGCAAATTCTGAATATCCTGGCCTTGTAGGTCATGCCCATTTAGTGCTGTTATCTTGATCACTAAGGGCGACTTTGATTGCAGATTTGTCAGGGGGAGTGGTCCTGCTCTGCATCCAGCCAGGTGCTGCAGGGCTTCCCAGCGTGCTGGCCCAGGTGTCAGTGGTCTCACCCCATCGGTCTACTTAGTACTTAACGCTGAGTACTACAGCCTCGCCCAAGCCTGCTATGGCAACTCATCCGGTGATTTTTTTTTTCTTTATTGGGTTTTGGTGGAGAAACACAGTCAAAAACCAGCTCTCCTCTATGCTTTCATAGAGAAAACCGGAAACAAAGTAACCAAGAGGTTGTGGGTGTGAAACCCAAAACACCTAAAGGAAAGTTGCTGGTTGGCTTCCCCTGCAGCTCCACCCTCTCAATTCAGATGTGGAAGTCCCAGACCCTGAAATCTCCAAAGAAGACCTGATTTGGAGACAGGGTCTTTGTAGAAATGCCTAAGTAAATGTGAGGTCAGGAAGGCGGGCTCTAATCCGCTATGGCGTCTTTATGAACTTTGGACGCAGACAGGTGCAGAAGACAATGTAAAGACACAGCCGGGAGACGGCTGCCTGTAAGCCAAGCAGAGGCAGGCTGGAAAGAGAAGTTTTCTTTCAGCTCATGGTAGGAGGTTACAGGATCAGCTGTCCGACACAGGCTGGTTAAGCAGGCTGATGATGCCCTGGCACCATCTTTCCTTCACACTTTCCCAGAGGCAGCCAACCCAACCTCGATACTGGACTTCAGCCTCTAGATGTGAGATAATCCATTTCTGCTGTTGAAACCACTCGGGCTGTGACATTTTGTTTTGGAAGCCGTAGCAAACTAACAGAGAAGGTGAGAAAATTAACTCAGTCATCTGTGTATTCCCATATAACTTCAGGGTTTTTTTTTTTTTTTTTTAAAGATTTATTTTATTTGTTTGAAAGAGTTACAGAGAGGGGTAGAGGCAGAGAGACAGAGAGAGAAGTCTTCCATTCTGCTGGTTCACTCCCCAAATGACCACAATGGCCAGAGCTGAGCTGATCCAAAGCCAGGAGCTTCTTCTGGGTCTCCCAAACAGGTGCAGGGGCCCAAGGACTTGGACCATCTTCCACTGCTTTCCCAGGCCATAGCAGAGAGCTGGATCAGAAGAGGAGCAGCCAGAGCTTGAACCGGTATCCCCCATGGGATGCTGGCGCCACAGGATGAGGCTTTAACCCACTGTGCCACAGCGCCAGCCCCAACTCCTATTATTTTGAAGAGCTCACCTCCTGTATTGGTCTGCCTGTTTTTGCTTTAACAGAAATACCCAAGAAGAGCTTCTTTGGGAAAGAGAAGTTTTATTTCAGCTCACGGTGGGAGGTTACAGGATCAGCTGTCCAATGCAGGCTGGTTAGGTGGGCGTGGAGGCATGACCACATGGTGACTCAGGCAGCAGGGAGACAGAAAGAACCTAGGCGGAACTTGAACACACATAATCCAACCACTTGCAAGAGGGCACGCTCCCCACTGACGTAAACACCTCCCACGGGCTCCACCCCTCAGACGCCATCATTGCATCAAGTCTCCACCCTTAATCCACCAACCATTAACATGAAGGTATCTGAGTTTAAACAGATCCTACTCAGCCGGTGACACCTTCCCAGGCAGAGAAATGGGGTATTTTGAGGGGGAATTCCTCACGGGCACCCAGGGAGGCTCCGCCTGACCTAACTACTGAGTCCTCGGTAAACCACCGCATGGCACTGAAGTCTGTGGAGCAGCATCACCACGCATAAACCGTGCCGAACACGGAAATAGCCGTCTTCTATTTGATTGCACATGTCAGGATCCTTTCCTGCCCACAAACTGAACGCTTCCTGTGTCTCTCTTGTAAACCCTTAACAGTTAAACTCTGTGGACCTGCGAACTTAATCCCAGAGGTTTTGATGCACCTGTCTGTCACCCTGACGGAAGGCTCAGGTGAGAGCTTCTTGCTCATGCACTTGAAAGGAGAGGCCTCACCAATAAACGCTCTTGAAAGACTTGCTTGATCAGTCTTTTCATCAATGCAGCTGTTTCCCCCAGGGAGCGCTTGAGCCCATGCTAATGCTTTGCTGGATGCCAAGGGCATTGAGTTGATCCTATGTGGTGTTCAAGTAACCTCAAAGAAGCTAAAGTCACTTGTCATCGGGAGAACACATAAGCACCAATGATAGATTTGGTTTAGTAGGTAAGAACCATTGGTCCGACTCTTTGTTCTTGCATTCTTTTTTTTAAAATTATACATTCATGTTCTCTTCTTTTTTTTAAGATTTATTTATTTATTCGAAAGTTACAATTGCAAAGAGAGAGAAGGAGAGGCAGAGAGACAGAGGTCTTCCATCTGCTGGTTCACTCCCCAGTTGGCTGCAATGGCTGATGCTGTGCCGATTCGACACCAGGAGCCAGGAGCTTCTTCTGGGTCTCCCACACGAGTGCAGGGGCCCAAGGACTTGGGCCATCTTCTACTGCTTTCCCAGGCCATAGCAGAGAGCTGGATGGGAAGCAGAGCAGCCAAATCTCGAACCGTCGCTCATATGGGATGCCAACACTACAGGCGGCAGCTTTACTGGCTATGCCACAGCGCCGGCCCCTGCTCTTGTATTCTGCTTGGTAAGTAGACAGGTCAAAGTCAAATCAAGTCTCAATCTCACTGAAAAAGTGGCAGAGTGCTTTTATTTTTGATTTCTCTAATGTGGACAAAATTCAAATAAATCTCAAAATGGACAGGAAGGTAGTAGAGAAGTAGAGCAAAGAAATACATTTTTAAAAAAGATTTATTTATTTATCTATTTGAAAGTCAAAATTATAGAGAAAGAGGGAGAGACACAGACAGAGAAATCCTCCATCAGTGGGTTTACTCCCCATATGACCACAATGGCCAGGGCTAGGCCAGGCCAAAGCCAGCAACGAGGAGCTTTATTTGGGTCTCCCACATGGGCAGCAGGGGCCCAAACACTTGGGCCATCTGCAGTTGCTTTCCCAGGCACATTAGCAGGGAGCTGGATTGGAAGTGGAGCAGCTAGGACACAAAAAGGCACCCATATACAATGTCCAGGAGATACATTTTTATGTAGACTTTTTACTAAAGTTGGCAGGGTTTTTGAAAAATGTCAGGTTTGGTTACTGGTGTTCCTTTAACAATGTGTGAGGTTACTGATGGATACAGGTCATGGTGGCAGCCTTAAATACATCTTCAGTAATAAACAAATCAGTTTGAGTTTTCATCTGATTAACATCTCAGTTCTGTTTCAACAGGGCAAAGAATGCATGAGGGGAATGAAAATGATGGTCATATATATTACATTGTCATACCCCAAGAGATAGACAAGCAGTGTGTCTCTTAAGAAGGCTTAGGCTGGGGTCCCATGGAAAGCTAGCAAGAATGTGCATCAATATGGATCCTGTATTTTTTTTTTTTTACAGGCAGAGTGGACAGTGAGAGAGAGAGAGACAGAGACAAAGGTCTTCCTTTTGCCGTTGATTCACCCTCCAATGGCCACCGCGGCATGGCCACCGCGGCCGGCGCGCTGCTGCCAGCATACCACGCTGATCCGAAGGCAGGAGCCAGGTACTTCTCCTGGTCTCCCATGGGGTGCAGGGCCCAAGCACTTGGGCCATCCTCCACTGCACTCCCTGGCCACAGCAGAGAGCTGGCCTGGAAGAGGGGCAACCTGGAAAGAATCCGGCGCTCCGACCGGGACTAGAACCTGGTGTGCCAGCGCCGCTAGGCGGAGGATTAGCCTAGTGAGCCGCGGCGCCGGCTGATCCTGTATTTTATAATAAACTGTTCACTGCCCTGTGTTAAGTTGTGTTTTACACACACACACACACATCTGTAGAATTAAAAAAGAATTCAGTACATATAGGTTATTTGCTCTTGGGATTTGGGAATTAAATACTGGAAGGCTAATCAAATGTCAAGAATTAATAAAATGAATGAAATCAGTTGTCCAAGTCAAAGTTTTATATGTATATCACCCTTGCCTTGGGTTCATATCTCAAGCACCTACATAAGTTACGTCCACCCGCTTAAAAATAAACTCTCTTTTGCTGCTGAGGTCTTTAACATCAAGTTTGAGAAGTGTCAGCCTTATAATTTATCATTTCATGATTCATTTCTGAATATCTTTTCCTAGCAGGAATGTGTCTTGTCTTTTTCTATTCCTGTTTGCACTGGGGAGCTGTTGAGCTGGGTGTGTTCAGTACCCAGTGTCTGGTTAGGATATGACAAATATCTGCATGATTTTTCATTTTTCTCTTGTCATCAGGATACTTGTGGTGACATACCAACTACACTCATATGAAGTCACATGACTTGAAATATTATTGCCTTCAAGGTAATCTAACTCTAATGTTCCTATTTAAAAACAGGATTTTGTTTTATTGGTGAATTGACCACTCTGTGATAAGGTGTGTTAATCAATCAAAAGGATATTTTCATGGTTTAACAGAAAAGATTCCAGCATTTTTCCTATCTGGATGGTGCTTGAGATAAATATGGTGAAAAAATATAAGACATTTTTCTGCCCTAGAAGCAACTCAGAAATCTTTAGGTGTAATGACGGGCTAACAGCCACAAACACAAGGTGACATCTTTAAAGATAAGGACAGTGAGGTATTGATTAGACAAATCTATTTGGCCAGACAGCTGTGATGTATAGATAGGAGAAGGAGGTGAGAGAGAAACCCATGAATGCACATTTTCGAAAATACCTTGCACAGTTCATAAATAATAGTAATTATAATAAAGGCTCTGCCAGTGGTTTAAGCATCCACGTAATATGAATTGATTGTTAACATTTCACTTAAAGATAGATTAATTGATGCTGAATCATACGGTAATTCTTATGAAAGTACCGTACGTATGACATCGAAATTAATACCAAATGAATTCATTACAAGTGAGATAATTACAATGAATACCCAATAAATTAGTGACGACAGGGCTTTTAGAATTCCAGGCATTAACGCACAGGATTGAGAGTAGAAGATGCCCGGGCCATGGCCGAGGTGTCAGGTCACCTCTATCTCCATTCTACAGGTCCTTCGGCCTTTCAATGTGAGTTTCCCTCATGGCAGGGTCCCAGAATGACTGTCTTGACTCTGCTGAGCCAGATAATGCTGCTAGTAGCTGTTGAGGTCACGTGGCTCTCTTGTTCACCAAGTCTCCTTTAGCAAACTCTTGCCAAAGAAACGCTGATAAGCTGCAGGGGGCCCACCCCTAGGTTCTGGTTGACAAAGAATTTGCAGAGAACCCAGAACAGAGTTTCTGTTTGAAACCACGACCTTTGGTTGATTTTCTTCTCCTTCCTGTCCACTGCCTGAGTTGATTGTGTTCTGGAGTCAGCCTGCTCTGGCCTCCAGGGGGATCTTGCAGCGTTCTCTCATTTTACATAGGCTTGCGCTGCAAGGCAGAGAAGTTGAGGAACTTCCCCAAGGTCACCCATCTGTAAATTCTCAGGCCAAGCTTCTTGTGCCTATGCAGTTGGCGTAGGAGACAGCCATAAACTGGATGGCTCATGTTTATCAAGCATGCAACGCAAGCTCCATGTGCTTTGTGTGTGCCTTGGTGCAACCCTCTGAGGGAGATGCTATCTCTGTTTCACAAACAGTTGCCACCAGTTGAGTAAGGAGCTGAAGGTTACGCAGCTAAGAGGAGAGCCGAGGGCTCTCATCTGGGTCTTTTTGCCACTGACATTCAGCTCTCAACCTCCAAGCTCTCAGGCCACCATGAGTTTCCACCTGGTGCCAACGAGGCATGGTACCCTGTGAGCAGCTGGGTGGCTGTAGGGCCCTGGCAGCCACAGCAGGAAACTGGGTCAAACGTGGGGAAGAACAGAGGGAGGCGGGCAAGAGAGCAGCTTCTAGAAGAATCAAGGGAGCCTTTATCCTTCCCTTTCCTTTGCCTGCTGGATGATGGGAGAACCATGAAACAAAAGGGACTGCCCTGCAGTTGAACTTAATTCTTGTGTGTGAAATAAAGTTTGATTTTGTTAAATCACAAAAATATTAGTTAAGGGAACGAACACATTGAACCAATATAGGATGCACACCACGGGTGCAGGTCTAGGGTGATTTTAATTCCCACTTGGCCCAGTCAGTGTGATTTTAGGACTGCTGTAAATTGCATTAGGAGCTGTGAGAGTTTCCTGGGAGGGATGGCCCTCCTACACCTGTCCTAGATTTGGAGAAGTATAGAAGATGACTCACGTCTAAGGTGTCCCTGCAGAAATCCCAGACTTCTCTGCACTCCTCCATGAAGCTGCCACTGTGCCTCCATTGGCTGACAATGCTCCTTCAGTAATGATAGACCGTGTATGTGCACGTGCCCATGTACCTGGGCCAGGCAGCTCTCTGCTGACCACAGAGGCTCACACACCTGTCTCCACCTAGGCCTTAACAGGATCATATGTGTAATGCATTTCATTCAAAAATCATTTTAGAATAAATATTACTCTCTGTGGAACTTAATGATTTATTTATTTGAAAGGCAAAGCATCAGAGAGAGAGAGATTGAGAAAGATAGAGAGAAATCTTTCACCTGCTGGTTCATTCCTTAAATGGTCACAACAGCTAGGTCTGGACTAGGCTGAAGCTAGGAGTCAGAGAAGACAGGGGCCCAAAAACCTGGACCATCTTGCAGGCCCTCCGATATGGGATGTTGGGGTGCTGGCATTACAAGTAGTGGCTTAATCCACTGCATCACAACACCAGCCCCTCTGTTCCATGAAACTTAGATCACCCTTAGGGATAAGGGACTGAAAAGGCAGGGTGAGTGAATTATGAGTTAGTGGAGTTTTTACACAAAAATGTTTCATGAAAAAGTCTAGAGGTCTAGAGTTCACTGAGTTGTCATGGGTTGGCAAAAATATCTTTTTTATAAAAGATTGATTTATTTATTTGAAAGTCAGATTTAGAGAAAGAGAGATATCTTCTATATTTGGTTCACTTTCCAAATGGCCACAGTGGCCAGGCTTGGGTTGGGTTGAAGCCAGGAGCCAGGAGCTTCATCTGGGTCTCCCAAGTGGGTACAGGGGCCCAAGCACTTGGGTTGTTTTCTGCTACTTTTCCAGGCTTCTTAGCGGGGAGCTGGATCAGAAGTGGAGCAGCCAGGACTCGAACTGGCACCCCTATCGGATGCCGGTGTTTTGGGTAACGGGTTGACCTGCTATGTCACAATGCTGCTATGTCACAATCGAGATTAACTTTTCCATCAGTGGAAATGGGGAACTAGAGAGGTGATTATATTTGGTGCAGGAGAATAATGGTGACTACATCTTTGCACGCTTGACATTTGTATTCCTACAAACGTAGTGATTTGTTCTTATTGTACAAAGTCTGGCCTCCTCCAGGCTTATAGAATATGGTGGCCAATCCACCATAGGGTGCGATTCTACCCCATGAAGAGAAGTAGGCTGCCAAAAGAATGCTTGTTCATTTAGTCAACAGAAATTTATTGAACACGTACTGTACACCCAATACCAAGTTCTTCAAGGTTCTGAGAAGGTTCCTGTCTAAAACGATGGCTCTTTTACCACCTGGAAGTCATCATATTCCTCAGCCACACTGTCCAAACACTTTGTTAAAGTCAGTGAAGGAGAACCACAGAACAGTACACCTGTGTCTGGGTTTGTAACTTTGGATGAGGAATTAACTCTCCCTCTCTTTTTAAAAAATATTTATTTATTTATTTGAGAAGCAGAGTTACAGAAAGAGAGAGGGGAGAGATAGAGAAAGAGATCTTTCTTCTACTGATTTACTCTCCAAATGGACCATAATGGCAGAAGCTAGGCCAATTTGAAGCCAGGAGCCAGGAGCTACTTCCAGGTCTCTGACAGGGCTGCAGGGGCCCAAGCACTTGAGCCATCTTCCACTGTTTTCCCAGGTGCAGTAGCAGGGAGCTGGATAGAAAGTGGAGCAACTGGGACTAGAACCGGTGCCCATATGGGATGCTGGCACTGCTGAAGGCAGCTTTATCTGCTGTGCCACACCACCAGGCCCAGGTATGAACTCTGTTAAGGCTCCAGTTTCTTCATAGAATGAAGATAATAGTAACACAGAAGTCATTGTGTGGTTCTTGTGAGGATTCAATGAGATTGCTTATTTAAGCCCCAAGTCTGCAAAGTTCTGAGCAACCTGGCAAATTGAAGTTATTATAGTTGACAGAGGATAATTCTTTTTTTTTTTTAAAAAAAAGATTTATTTATTTATTTGAAAGGCAAAGTTACACACAGAGAGAAGGAGAGGCAGAGAGAGAAAGGTCTTCCATTTGCTGGTTCACTTCTCAAATGGCTGCAATGGCTGGAGCTGCACTGATCTGAAGCCAGGAGCCAGGAGCTTCCTTCCGGTCTCCCATGCAGGTGCAGGAGCCCAAGGACTTGGACCAACTTCTACTGCTTTCCTAGGCCATAGCAGAGAGCCGGATCGGAAGTGGAGTAGCTGGGACTTGAACCAGTGCCCATATGGGATGCTGGTACTGCAGGCGGTGGCTTTACCTGTTAATACCACAGCACCGGCCCCAGACAGAAGAGAATTTTGATGACACAGGGAGGAAGGAGAGATTCTGTCAGAAGAGCACTGGGTAAAATGCCAGGGCTGGTACCTAGGCAGCTGGTTCTCAGGCTGAAGATGAAGGCCTGATGAGGGTGGACTAGGGATGAGGCAGTCACTGGAAGGCAGGAGACATACTCTGGCTTTGCCTTCCTTGGCATACCTCCTTTCTTGGCATACCTGGTCTGGCCTCAGTCATCCGGAAGCCCCTAGTGTAGCACGGCATCTGCAGCCCTCTTTGTACAACCTTACCTGTGCCCTCTCCCAAGGAAGAGGACCCTGCCCCACCCGACCCCTGCCGCAAAATCCTTTTTGGTCTGTCTCTGCACCAAGACTTGTCCAGAGCAAAATACTAAAAGGGTGACTTCTGTGGCACTGTTAAAGTGAAAAGAATCAGAATATTTCACAACACCCCAATTTTTCTCTGCGCCTTTGACAAAAACTGTCGTTTTACCCCTTCTGGCTTCACATTGTGATTCTGTCATTATACAGAAGTGCACAGCAAAGGAAATACACCAAGCAAATTGCAGAGTTCCTGGCCATTGAGGAACTTGAAACCTAGCAGCACGGGTGGCATAAATAATTCAGTCCAGAATGGGGACAGGGTGATTAGTGGCTTTTACCAATGTAATTCTCCATAGAACAGGTGGGGTTTCATGAGGAGCAAAATGCAGTTGAAGCAAGAAAACAGGAGCTGGTATATATCTTAAGTGAAAGTAGAAACCAGAGGAAAAGTTGTAAAAAAAAAAAGATTGTATGATAGAGGAGATAGAAGACTGAGAGTTTCCTGGGTTTAGGTTGAAAGACTGAAGGGGGGGGGGAGATAAAATATAGGGACAATACAGTGGTGGAAATTTGGTTTTTAGACAAGGAAACATGATATCCATGTAGGGTCAGAGACATTGTGTGTTAAAGGACTGAGTACGGGGAGCAAGTTGCATCACTCAGCCAGAAATAGCTGGCCTGGAAAGCTGAGACCAGGACTGGGAAGTATATGGTGTATCAAGGGTGACAAAACTCTGCTCTGGTTAAGTCAGGGCTGGGTCCACTTGGGAGGCAACACAGAGACCTGCGGGATAGTCAGGGCATCAAGGGTGAAGGAAGCAGGTGAAGATCGGGGTGGGGGGGACTCAGCTGTGTGCTCACACATTCCTGCTCTGTGGTCTTCCTCCTTTGGTCATCAAATGCTCCATTTTCTCAGACCAAGTGCCAGCAAGAGGGTGGAGGCTAGATTCTGTGACAAGCTCTGCTCCACTAGGGTCTTGCTGCTCTGCCTTTGATAACTTATGTGTGTGAGTCTTTTTCTGAAGCCACTCTGATCACCCTATGTGGGTAACCCATGGGATGAAGCCTCTTATGGTGTTGACCAATGGGCTGATGCCTGTTGTCTTTGTCAGTTATCCCTTGGGGAATCTGGGGATACAGTGCATGTTTCTGTACTGTAAAGAAAAGTTGGACTTTGAAGAGAGGAAGCCAGAGGATGACTCTTCTCTGTGTGAAGTATTTCTTCCATTTTTGCATCTAGCATGTGAAATCCTGCAAGGGGAGACCACAGAGGCAGGGCAGAGAATAGGTGAATCGTTATTTTTTCAAAGTCATCCATATTATGGGGTACAGAGTTGTTGTCTAATGCATGTATTCAATCCGGGATGAGAGTTTATTTATTTCTCCTTCCAGTGCCTTTTTGCTTTGAGGCATCTTTTATTAAATAAAATCATAGTGCAACTGATCAACACAATAGGCTGTAGTGAGGAGATAAGCCATCTCCTCAAAATATTATCTATTGAATCTCATGAGCTTCAAAGTACAGCCACTTCTTAGTTCTCACAAGTTGGAGGACCTGAGCTCTGGTCCAAATGGTTCTGATTCTGGTGTATTCTTCTCATGCAAAAGAGTGTACAGTCATATACCCTTTGCTTGTATTACCTCTACATTTTGCCATTGCCTAGAACAAGTCCCAGGCTTGGGCCCAGCATGGACAGGTGGGAAGTAAGGGTCCACAGGGGAGGTTAATACAAAGTCACATGGCAGATGGTGGGGAGGGTGACCCAGAGATGTCATCCAGCACCACACAGGGGTTCTCCTGCTGAATGCCACGGTACCCAACTGGAGGAAGTCCTGTCCTTTCTTCTCTGCATATGGACAGACCTGGACCAAGTAAGACAGAGCCTTCAGGGGCATAGCTCAGAGAGGGGAGAAACAGAAGTGGGATCCAGGAGAGAACAAAGACCCAAGGGGGTTTCCCACAAGAGATGCCTTCATCCCTGACCTATCACAGGCAAGGATGGAAGCCTTCTGCCAGTGATAAGTGCAAGTGGGTCTTTCCTCATTACCTCTGTATCCAGGGACTTATGACACTGTTGAGGAGCTGTTCCCAACCTGGTCATGATATTGGCCAGATTCGGTTGACCCCTACCTCCCTCAACACCTGTGGTGTCACTTCTGCTTGCATAGGGTCTTTGCCACTGGCTACTACTCAACAAGCACAATACAAATGACATTTACATCCATAAACAAGATAGTCCGAAGTTTCAACTTTGTGACCAGTTGTTGGATCTTGCAAATAAACCCTGTCTTAGCACCTTGGACTGAGTCACTGAGGTTGAGAAGTAGTCCTCTGTCTGTTCATCTTATCAGTGACAGCTCTGTGAGGTCTGCCCAGTCAACCACAAGTTCAAGGAGAGAGTCCAGAGCTAGGATCATATCGAATTTTACCCTGGGACTACAGCTTCAGGCTTTAGAAGTCAACAATTCCTTACCCAGAGCCTGAGAAGCCAGAAATGACCTTGGAATATTTGGGATACCTAGATAAGAAGCTTTGCCAATTGTATCTATCAATTGATTATAAAGTAACAAATTGTACTTGGTGTATTTATGGGGTACAATATGCTGCTTTAATGTCTGAAGTGGAAAGATTCAATAAAGCTGATTGACATATCCACCACATTTAAATTTACTCTCTTAGGAACTTTGAAATATACAATGTTATTAAGTGCAGTCATCATGCTGTACAATAGATTTTAAAAATATTTTTCCACTTTACTGAAATTTTGCACCATTTGGCCAGCATCTCCTCACTGTCCCCACACCAGCCAGCCTCTCACCACCGTTGTACTTTCTGCTTCCATGAGTTTAGTTGCTGCAAATTTCACATGCAAGTCAAATCCTGCAGAAGTTTTACCAGTTCTCTGATGCTCGCTGCCACATATGTTATTTGGTGAACTCCACTTCATTGTATCACAAGAGTAGGTGTAACTTTGAATGAAAATCTGAGTGAGACTTGATTTTCCTTGCAATTGCTGTCTGTGAAGTTAAATTCAGCAGTTCCCAAGGGAAAACCAATACAGTGGCTGCAGAAAGGAAAAGAAGAACTTTTAAAATATGTGAAAAAGATGAGGGTTCTTAAAAAAGTTTTTGGAAAAGTTTACTGGGGCTGGGGCTGTGACTCAGAAGGTTAAAAAGCCCAGACTGCTGTCCTGGCATCCCATATTGGTGCTGATTCAAGTTCTGGCTGCTCTGCTTCTGATCCAGTTGCTTGCTAATGTGCCTGGGGGAAAGCAGTAGAGGATGGCCTAAGTGCACAGCCCCCTGCACTCACATGGGAGACCCAGAAGAAGCTCCTGGCTTCGACCTGGCTGAGTCTTGGCTGTTATGGCCATTTGGGGAGTGAACCAGTGGATGGAAGATCTCTTTCTCTCTCTCTCTCTGTAACTCTGCCTTCCAAATAAATAAATAAATAAATCTTAAAAAAAGTTTATTTTGCCAAGCCAGCTCTCTGCTGTGGCCAGGGAGTGCAGTGGAGGATGGCCCAGGTGCTTGGGCCCTGCACCCCATGGGAGATCAGGAAAAGCACCTGGCTCCTGGCTCCTGCCATCGGATCAGCGCGGTGTGCCAGCCGCAGCGCGCTGGCCGCGGCGGCCATTGGAGGGTGAACCAACGGCAAAAGGAAGACCTTTCTCTCTGTCTCTCTCTCTCACTGTCCACTCTGCCTGTCAAAAAAAAAAAAAAAGTTTATTTTGGTGTCAAAAAACCTTTTTTGAAATCCATGCATAGTTCTTTCATGGTAAACATTTTTCATGAACTTTTAGAAGACCCTTTGTATTCATGGATTTCAATAATTTTTGCACCAAAATAAACTTATCTTTTAATTCCATTTTCTATAAACATTTTGAAGTCCCTTGTACAGGTGACCCAAAAAAAAATCAGGATATGTAGGATAAAAGCATGATAAACACACAGTTTTCCCTGTGTATCTAGATGTTTTGCATAGTGGACACAGTCTACTTTCTCAGACTGACAATTAGACCTAATCCTTTTAATAGTCTTTTATTCAAACGATAATCTGGAGATTAAAGAAAAACATGGAGAATATTATTTGAAAAGATACATTTTTGAAAAATCAGTTGATTTTGAAATCAGCTAAGATGCACAAGTTACACCTTGGAGTGAGTGGGTTCAGTTCCAAGGTCCAATTCTGGACTCCAGCTTCCTGCTCACGCAGGCCTTGGGAGGCAGAGGTGAGGGCTCAAGTAACTGGGCTCTGGTAAACACTTGGAGACATGGAGAAATCCTGGCTGTGGCCCAGCACAGCTTTAGCTGCTGTGGACATTTGAGAAGTGAACCAGCAGAAGGGACCCCCCCCAACCTTTAAATATATATATAGTAAAAGAAATCAGTTTCTATGTGATCCTGTTATTATGATACAGTTATGTATTATGGTGTTTTTTGATTTTTCAGTTACTCTGAAATTTGTTTAAGCCTGAAAATAAAGATGCAAATTGCTTCAAGCATACACAGGGCTACTGAACTTGATCTTTGGTTTGTCTTTTGAGAACTACAGCCTTCCATTCTCTAGGCACCGTGATGGAGGGGGGCAGGAGAGCAGAGTGTGCATCTCCTCATTCACCAAGGCTGAAGCGTTCTCAGGAGCTCAAAATCACCACAGCCCATTGTTTCCTTCCACTGTTTGCATCTCCAGCTGGACTCTCTACGCTTTCTGTTTTATTCTCTACAAAGTCTACTAGTCAAAGAAGGCAAGTCACCAAAGAGTGATTTTAAGATTTCACGGCCTCTAAAGCAGGAGAGGGACTGCCAATGCGTGCTGAATCTGATCCTGGAGAATAGCTGTGCAATGGCCCTGGGCCCTTGCTGCCAGCCGCAGGTGACTGCCCTGTCTCACCGTTACTGAGAGCTGCTCTGCATTGTCAGGCCATGGCCAGAATTCAGAGAGAGGAGGAAAAAAAAATAACCCGTCTGTCTAGTGTAATGGAAATGCTAGCACAAAGCTGCCGGTGTCTGCCCAGAGGAACACAAGTGCCGTTTCTCTTAGGCCTAGGAAGCCTTCCTCAGACGCGTTAGAGGAATACAGACCAGGCAGACACCCTAGCAAGGGTGATAAATTACATCTCCAGGAGAGCAGAGGGCTAGTAAACACAGACCCTCCCCTTCTCAAGTCTTTTCCTCTTTCTCTTTAGATGATGGTTTCTGAGTGTTCTTTCATACAAACTGGCTTGCGTTGACATCAATAATAAAAACATTTATCAGAATAAGCGCCAGTTCAAGGATACTTATGGGTGCACCCAGTGTGATGTTTTGTGTTCTGTGGCTTTCACGAGACTTTTCTTTTGTAGAGTTCTGTCTCCATGACTCCTACCTGCCCTACAGCTCCGGCCACCACTAGGCGCACCACACTTGTATTCTGCCTCTGCTCCTGCTGTGTGTCTTACCACTTTAAGAGTATTTTTAAGGTTCCTAGAGAGTGATGAACCAGAACAGAGGTGAATGGGAGGGTTGGTTTTGTTCCCTACCAACTAAGGAAGCAGCAAAGAATAGCCAGAGGAAATGAGGTCTTTTGGAGCTGCAAAATGAGGACTCGAACAATGCAGCCTTCTGGAAACTGTGGGGTGTTAAGGGAAGTTATCATCTGCGACCGGAAGAGTGAGTGAGGCTGTGTGTGTGTGTGTGTGTGTGTGTGTGTGTGTGTGGAGGGGGGCGGGTAGGATCTCTGTGCAGGCTCTGGGGCCAGCAGCCTGGGAAACAAGAGGTGGCTATGCTGGATAAGACTCAAGATGTGGCTTGGGAGACAACACAGGAACCCTGTGCTTAGTTGTTTGTATCAAGATGTGCGCATTAAAATGGGTCAAATAGTTAAGTGTGTCTTGACTTTTAAACTTTAAGAAATGCAGCTTGTCTTCTCTCCCTTTGCCTCCCTTCTCTTGCCCTCCCAAGAGCTGGTAGAACTCTCTGGTTAAGAACGTGCCATCTGGTGCTGCCAAGCCTAGACGCATGCTCCTAAGCAAGGTGCTGACCCCTCTCTGTAAAATGTGGTTAATTACGGTAGCCATCTTGTAAACTTTCACCATGAAGATTGTGATTTCTTTGTTAACCTTTGAAAGTGAAGCACTCTTTTCAGAAACACAACAGTGTAACACAATTTAAAATTCCGTCTTTGTTATTCAAGATTCTCCAGCCACCCATTCAAGGAGTATTTCTAAACACCTGCTGTGTGGAGGACATTGGGCTCCACATGGGGTCTCTCTGGCTAGGGAAGAGGAAATCTGAAAGCTCTACTGAACCACGGCCAGAATTCAAACCTTTCACCTAGTGTGTCACCAACATTTGTCTTGTTTGTTAGCATTTATACACAATATGCCCCATACTGCTGGGACACCAAAACCATGCATTTTTTGTGGCAGTAAATACTTAATATTATAAAATTTACTTAAAAATTTATTTATTTAGGGGCCAGAACTGTGGCATAGTGGGTTAGACTGTCGCCTTCAGTGCCTGCATCCCATGTGGGTGCCGGTTTGGGACCTGGCGGCTCCACTTCTGGTCAGCTCTCTGCTGTGGCCTGAGGAAGCAGTGTAGGATGCCCAGAGTCCTTGGGCCCCTACACCTGCATGGGAGGCCCCGAAGAAGCTCCTGGCTTCTGGCTTCAGATTGGCACAGCTCTGGCCATTGCAGCCATCTGGGGAATGAACAAGCAGATAGAAGATCTCTCTCTCTCTCTCTCTCTCTCTCTCTGCCTCTGCCTTTCAAATAAATAAATAAATCTTAAAAAAAAAAAAAAACAAGAAGTGAAGACAGATCCCTTCTGAGTGGACAGCTTAAGAGTATTAGTGTCTGAACACACAGCTGTGCTGCTATCACCACCATTCATCTCTAGAAGTATTCATCTCCCCAAACTAGAACTATTCTCATTAATCAACAACTCCCCATTCCTCCCTTCCCCTACCCTGGTAATCATCATTTGCCTTCTGTGGCTATGAATCTGACTACTCCATGTACCTCATGCAAGTGGAATTGTATAGCGTTTGTCTTTTTGTGACTGGCTTATTTCACTTAGCCTAACCTCCTCAGAGTTCATCCATGTTGGAGAAGGTAGCGGATTTCCTTGCTTTTAAAGACTGGATAATATCCCATTAACTGTTCATCTGGCCACATTTTGTGTTCATCCCTTAACAGACTCTTGGATGGCTTCTACCTCTAGGCTACTGTGAACCATGCTGTTATGAACACGGGTGAATCTACCAGTTAACATTTTCAGAATCATGATTATCTCCTTAAAATTTGATAGCAAAACAACCACTTCCTGCTAAGTCCCAGGTAACAAAGTTTCAGTTTTACAAAGAAAACTCATTCACTCTTTCAATAAGCATTCAGGTCTTCAGCCGGCGAGGTGCTGGGTGTCCATGGAGAAGCCTGCAGCTCTTACAGAACCTCAGTCACCTGCAAAGACAGGTATTCAGCACACAGATCAGCATTTATAATTATTCACGGCCATCCGTGCTGCAAAGGAGAAGGGCAGGATGCGTGGAGAGAGAATTGATTTGGGGAAGAAAGTCAGGGAGGGGATCTCTGACAGGGTGACATCTGCATGGCGGATGAGAAGAAATGAGGCCAGTACAGAGTGGCAGGGAAGAACCTTCTGGCCAAAGACACAGCCTAGGCAAGCTCTGGATAAAACGCCTGGGCGGTTTTTGCAAAGCCCCCTCTGCGGATCCCTTCTGGTAGCTGAGTGCGACTGGAGTTTCTGACACCGCCGCCCTTCAGAGCTCTGGTTTATGAATCAAGCATAAAATTGCCTGCTGTGCCTGTGCTTCGTGACTTTGCAAGTGCAGCGTCCCGGGGGTGGTTAGAAGCGTGCATATCCTCCTTCTCCAGGCTGTACCCGATCCAACCCTGTTTTAGGGACTGGAGCCCCTGGGAGTCTGTAAGAAGGATCTTTGTTGGTGCTTCCCATATGGGAGACTGTGATAAGCAGAGTGCAGCTCTCAGAACCATTTAGGAAGGAAGGTGCTGTTTTAATACGAAGCATGACTCATATAGAGCCCTGCCCGAGTGAAAAGTGCTTTGCAAATTTATAAATTTCCTCCTTTCCATTTTAGACATTTTTTTGGACCCACACTGGCGTGTCAAGCAGGAGATTTCATGTGGTGGTGTGGCTCGTGGAGGAGCGATCTGGGTTTTTATGAGCAGTGGCCAACATAAATAGCAAAGTGGGAACAAACAGTGACGTGTGCAGCCTCAAAAGCCTGCCTTTGAGCAGCATGGACAGCTCCTTCAAGGGCATGTTAGCCTCTGGGGTCCTCGTTGTTCACGTCCAGTCTGCCCCCTCAGGTCTGTGTGCCCACGGCCATTTCCTCAGACCCAGTGTGGAGAAATGAGCGCTCAGCACTGGGAATGGTGGTGGAGAGGTGCTTCGGGGTCATGCAGCGATGCTGGGCATTACAGGTATCCCTACTAGAGGTCTCCGCATCATGGTCATGGTCAAAGCCTAAATGGGTTCTTTGTTGTTGCTGTGTTCATAAAGTTCATGGGAAATGCCCATTGTCTTTTAATTCCATCCCCCTGCCCTGGTTTTTTAAAGAAAGGGCTATTTTAAAAGCAAGTTTCTGGCCGGCGCTGCGGCTCAATAGGCTAATCCTCCACCTGAGGCACCGGCACCCTGAGTTCTAGTCCCGGTTGGGGCACTGGATTCTGTCCCGGTTGCCCCTCTTCCAGTCCAGCTCTATGCTGTGGCCCGGGAGTGCAGAGGAGGATGGCCCAAGTGCTTGGGCCTGCACCCCATGGGAGACCAGGAGGAAGCACCTGGCTCCTGCCTTCGGATCAGCGCAGCGCGCCGGCTGCAGCGGCCATTGGAGGGTGAACCAACGGCAAAAGGAAGACCTTTCTCTCTGTCTCTCTCTCTCTCACTGTCCACTCTGCCTGTAAAAAACAAAAAACAAAAAACATGTTTCTGGATTAGGTGTCAGGTAACCTTCCATTTCAAAATTTGTTTTTTGAAAAGGGAGAGAGAAAGTGAGAAAGGAAGAATTTGAGAGAGAGAAAGAGAGAGAGAGAGAATTCCATTAACTGGTTTACTCCTCAAATGTCTGCAATGCTGGGGCTGAGCCATCCTGAAGCCAGGAGCTGGGAACTCCATCTGGGTCTCCCACATAAATGGCAGGGGTCAAAGTACTTAAGCCATTATCTGCTGCCTCCCAAGGTGCACAATATCAGGAAGCTGAATCAGAGGCAGAGGCAGGACTTGAATGAAGCTGTCCCATATGGGATGTGGATGTTCAAAGTGGTGGCTCAACCTGCTGTACCCCTATGTCTGTCTCTTTCTAGAAAATTTTGACATATGACTCCATAGGCTATAGAAATATTTATGTTAATCTCAGATAGCCAAGAAAGTGTTTTTTTAAATAAACTATTTATTTCTTTATTTTGAAAGGGAGAGTGATAGAGAAACAGAAAGATCTTCCATCTGCTAGTTTAATCCCTAAATGGATACCATGGCCAGGGCTGGTCCAGCCAAAGCCAGGAGGCTAGAAATACTGCCACGTGGGTTCTGGAGGCTCAAGTACTTGGGAATGTCTTCTGCTGCTTTCCTAGGTGCATTAGCAGACAGCTAGACTGGAAGCAGATCAGCTGGGACACTAATCAATGCTCCCGTGTGGGATGCCAGCATCACAGGTAGAGGCTTAACCCGCTGTTCTTCAACTCTGGTCCCTAAGCTTCTGATTTAGTCATTTAATTTTTTTTTTCTCAAATGATGTCAACTTGGTGGCTCCTTTGCCCCTTGATCTGAGGTTGGTCTGTTGTGTGTTGTTCCCTTAGGTATTTTTACATATGTCCTATGCAATTTTTTTTTAAGTTTTTTGACCACAACCAACACTAAGAAATACATTTTAATTCATTGGAATAATAAAATTTCACAAAAACAGTATTCTTACTACAAAAGACACAATCTGGTATTTTCTATATAGTCACTTTGAATAAGTTCTATTTCATCTTTTTAAACCCTAGTCAAAACCTATTAGGCTGTTGTCATGATTCACTAATGGATTGGGACCTGTGATTTGAAAAACACTGGACAACCAGGTCTTTAGTTCTTGTGTGACTCATTACCTATCAGTGCACACAAGAGCCTTCAGGACAGAATGGCTTTTTTTCCCCCTCAAGCCTCAGTACATGGCAGGTGTTTCCAATGGATAACTGTTGAGTTAGATGACTTAATCTCTTGAGTTTTGAACTCCTTGGCATTTCCAGATTGGCTTGAATCATAAAAAAAGAATTATTTAAATAAGTACTCTGTACTCAAGTGAGGAGTTCTGGAGAATTTGACCTCCTCTGGTCACGATGCCAACCATTCAACTTGAATTCTCTTTTTTGCTGTTGATTGATCTTGTATTTATTTGGTCACAAACAGCTTTAGGGAGGCAATTTGAACTTTGGCCATTTCTCTAAAAGCAAATTTCATCATCCATAGAATGAGGAAACCCATTTCACAGGGCTGTGAGGATTAAATCAAATGACATAGGTAAGGCACTTAGAACACATGGTAATCTTTCAATGTTAACCATTATTACTGTTGTCATTTTTCCTTTCAACTTTGTCAGCCACTGAGAATCTACAGCATTTTCCATCTTAGTATTCCAATTTTTCAGCCTGGGAAGTTAAGACAAGGTTGTCTTAATCTATTTGGGTTGATGTAACAAAATGTTATGGCAGGGTGGCTTGTAAATAATGGGAATTTGTTTCTCACGGTATGAGCCTGAGAAGTCCAAGATCAAGGCAAAATGAGTGTCTGGTGAGGGCCCACTCTTTGGTTCATAAACTCCATCTTTTCACTCTCTTTTCATGTGGTGGAAGGGGCCAACTAGCTTCTCTTTGGTCTCTTTTGTAAGAACAGTACTTCCATTCATGAGGGCTCTGCCTTCATGACTTAATCACCCAAGAGTCCTACTTCCTGATATCATTGCCCTAAGGGTTAGGATTTTGCTTGATCTTGGTCAAAAGGCTGAGACATGATGGCGGTTAAGCTTTCAGCATGAATTTTGAGGAAGACACAAATATTCACATCATAGAAAGGTGGAGCGGGGAGTTCCATGAGGTGAGGAACTGTACTTTTTTCACCATTTGTCCCACCTTATATCTCTAACAGTGATTATAGTTTATTTTTTCAGAAATATGGCCTCCGAAAGGAATAAGAATGAAGAGAGCAGAAGGCCAAAGTCCCAATGGGAACTCACAATCTGTTGCGCAAGTTAGAAATATGAGCCTGTTCTCAGACATATAACCCCGCTGATTGAAGGTCAAGGCCCTGTAAGGAAGGATTCTATAACACAGAGGCAAGTGTATCCAATAGGGATTGCTCAGTTCTTTCCTAAAAAGACCCCTTGACATTTACCTGGGTAATTAGTCCCTCAAGAATAGATTATACCCAGTTGTTGGTTACCGATCTGAGTAGATGCTGATCCCTGGGGACCCAAAGCACTATCAGATCCTTGCTAGAGGAGGACTTTATAGGGTAAGTAATAATAAATGGAGTCATGGCCCTTATCCACCTCACAGTGCCTCCTAGGTCCATAAACCAAAAGGCGACTGTCTCCCAAAGGCTTGATTGTATAAATGGTGGGAGTATACTGAGCTTGGTGGTCTTTCATGGGGAAGGGACTAAGAGTTAATGTTATGGGAAAAGCGACATGGAAGCCCCTAAAATTCCTTCCCATATCAGGACAGTAACTCAAAAGCACACAGTATCCTAGAAAGCATGACAGAGATAAGTGCTATACTACATGACTCACATGACTCAAGGGTAGTGGCTTTTATCATAATCTCCTGTCTGGTCCTTGCAGAACCAGTTTGATCATGGAAGATGATAACAAACTATCACAAACTTGACCAAGTAATGGCAACAATTAGAGCTTCTTTGTCTGATGTGCTATTTTTACTAGAACAGATTAGCACAGCCTCAAGTAAGGGGGATGCATTACAGATTTGCTGAACGTGTTCTTTTCCTTGAGGAAGGGGCAACAGAAGCAGTTAGCATCCATCTGGGTTGGACAACACTGTAGAGTCAGGATCGAGCTCCAGAAGTATGTCGATTCTTATGCGTTCTGTCATAAAATAATCTGAAAGGATCTGGATTGACCAAACATTCTGAAGAACATTGCTCCACTCTGGCAAATACTCCAGATGCCTTACCAGACAAATGGTCCCAAAAGCGGGAGATAAACTCAACAAAGATGCCAGGGCCTGCCACATTAGTGAAGGTTATAGATGTGCAGTGGTCTGGGCCATGCTAAGATAGTTTTTCTGAGGTAAGGAGCAAGTGCCTTGTTCTTAGTAAGGAACAAAGCCAGGAATAAATGCATATTTGCACGTGTTACTATTCAGAAAGAAGCACCGCAATTATTAGATCTTTTTGGGTTTTAAAGGCAGTATATTCTGTACTTGAGAATATTTCTCCAACTCACTTATCAAGTGACATGAAAGGCTGAAAGTTTTGTGTTGGTTACAGAACAAGAGACATTCCTAAGGTGCACATATACCATTCCTTTGGTGATCCATGTGGCCTAGGAGACACCATGGTCCTAGAAGCATCTGGGGAGAATACAATACTGAGTACAGGCTCCAGGAAGTCTCTAAAGAGAAGTTCCAGCAAAGACTCTGGGGTTCTAAAACAAGCTCAAGTCATTTGCAGAGGACTACATATCATTTGAAAACCATTTCTTGCTGTGCTATTGGCACCAGTAGAGACAGAGCATCCAAACATGGGATATTGAGTGAATAAATGCCAAACTGCCTGTCGTGAGCTGGATAGCATCAGCCCCACCAATGAAGAGAGCAGAAAGGCAAAGTCCCAATGGGAACTCACAATTTATTGTTCAAATTAGAAAATTAGCCTGTTCTCAGACATATAACCCCACTGATTGAAGGTCGAGTCAAGGATTGAAAGTCATGTCAAGTGAGGAAGAATTCTATAACACGGAGGCAAGTGTATATAGTAGAGATTTCTCAGTTCTTCCCTAAAGAGACCCCCTTGACATTTATTTGGGTAATTATGGGTAGCATTGTATGAGGTGTCCTACAGGCCCAGCAACAATCCATTGCAAGCCTAGTGAAGCTTCAACTCTTGTTTTAGATCTGAAGGATACTTGTGGTGTCTGTTCTGTGTGACCTTTCCCATCCTGTATAGAGTAGTGATTCATACTCACTGAGGTTGATGCATATTCTGAACATGGATTTGTCTTTCCTATTTACAAGGCCTTGGCCATCAAACTCTCCAAGGGCTCACAGAGTGTCTGATTTGCTGACATTGGGTCACACTGAACATCTTCTTGAACTAAAGACTCACTTATGGCAAAGGAGGTGTGGCCATGTGTCACATGACCCATGATCATGGGATCCACTAGTTTCATGGCATGCCTCACTATTTAGAAACTGACAACCTAATAGAATAGTGGAGGGGCTTGTGCTGGTGGCATAGTGGGCTAAGCCTCAGCCTGTGGCACCAGCATCTCATATGGGTGCTGGTTCTAGTCCTGGCTGCTCTACTTCTGATCCAGCTCTCTGTTATGGCCTGGGAAAGCAGTAGAAGATGGCCCAAGTCTTTGGGCCCCTGCACCCACATGGGAGACTCAGAAGAAGCTCCTGGTTCCTGGCTTTGGATCGGCCTACCACCGGTCACTGTGGCCATTTGGAGAGAGAACCAGTGAATGGAAGATCTTTATTTCTGTCTCTCCCTCTCTCTGCCTGTAACTCTGCCTTTCAAATAAATAAATAAATAAATAAAATCTTTAAAAAAAAAAGCAAAACAAACAAACAAACTGAATAGTAGAAAGGCCTCCTAAATAGAAGATGAGTCATGTACTTGAATAAGACATCCGGTGTAGATGGCTTAGGATGCATTAGGCTATTCAAACTCATGCTATTACACACACTGTATCCATATGAGGTAGAAGACCTGGGTCCAGGAGGTAAATATGGCTTTGTTCATCATTTCTATCATCATAACTGACTGGGGAAATTTCTATTTTCATTCCCATTTTTTAGATATCTTGCTTCTCAGAGATGACTGCTTCCACCAAGGAATACAGTAAAAGTCCCAGTTAATGTAAAAGCATGGTTGTCACTCTGTTCACTTTGGTCTTCTGATGCCTGTAGGCAAGCAGGCATAGAACATCTACCATCCTACAAGGAACTGTTCCTGATTATCGTGCGCTGAAAACACACAGGGGCCAAGGGGCCATGTTTGGCATTTTGATGAGTCTCAGGGATGGTTTTTATACTACGGTTTGAATGTGTTCCCCAAATTCATTTGTTGTAAACTTAATCTCAAAGTCATATGTTAATGATATTTGGTGGTAGGGCCTTTGGTAGGTAGTTAGGATTAGGTGAGGTAACGAGGAAGGGCCCTTATGGTGTCGTCAGTGGCTCTCTAGGAGCAGGAAGATAGACCGACACTAGCACACTTGGTCCCTTTCACTGTGTGATGCCCTCTGCCATGTTATGATACAGCAAGAAGAAACCTCGTCAGATGATAGAATCATCCTTTTGGACTTTCCAGCCTACAGAACCATGAGATAAATAAATCCTTGCTTTTTCTAAACTACTCAGAAACAGGTGTTCTGTTATGTGGTAGTAAGAAATCAACTAAAACAGTGCTAGAACAGGGAAATGATGGTTGTTGGTGATGGCTTTGGGATCAGCTACAGCAGTGGAGGCTGAAGATCATTCTACCTTCAATCCTCTTGCAAGTTCCCTTAGGAATTGTTACACAGAGTCCTGTAGAAACTATATGTGGATGGAGTGAGCTCAATGTGAGGAGAGAGTGGAAATGAACAGTCAAGGGATCGACTATAGTAGGTGCTGCTTGGCTCCACTGTCCTGAGCTGAGGGCTCCAGCTGCTTAGTGTGCTAATAGATAATAGCTATCAATTACTTGCTTTTCCAAAAACTTCATTTTTCTCACCTGATGGGAATAGCTTTGCCCAGAAAATGCACACTGCCCCTCCAGGCTAGGAGGACCCATAGCCATTGACTGATATTGGAGTATAAAAGTCAGGACCTCTTACATCAGACGGAGGGTGTAGCTTAGTTCTCCAGTTCTATTTATGCTCCAGAGTTGCCCCATTCCATCACTGGTTAGACCAAGGTTGGACTCAACCTTGCTCAACCATGCTTCACTCCTTCCCTCCCTGATGGTTCTTTCTGTAAAGCACTCCCTCGATAGATCCTGTGCACCTGATCCTCTGACTGGGGAGAAGGCATTTTTAACATTAGCTAGTGAATAAAAATGATGAGTCTGGTGATGGAGACATCAGCTGGTAGAAATTTGAGAACTAAGGGATCCCACCAAGGCAAGACTGACTCAGGAGCGCTTTCTATTTTTACCCTTTTCACTGAGAAAAGTACGTTGCAGTGTACACCTCATTGGATTTTCACAAGGACACAGCAAAGAGGGAAGAGAAGAGATTCAGGTAGCACATACTCTACCTAAACTCAGCCCAGAAGCAACCATGCCACTTCCACTGCTGTTTCATAGGCCAGAGCTTGCTTGTCAAATGGCCTTCCTCTAAGAGGAAGGGAGAACTGGATACAGGAAAGGTTTAGGAATGTCTACAGCAATAAACACAACTTTGGCAAAACCATCTCCTCCCCACCAAGCTTCCTCGTGTATGAAGGAACTTCAAAAATTCAAGGGGAATGCATATTATGAAAACATTGTGTTTGAGGGTGGGTATTTGGCCTAGTAATTAAGATGCTGGTAAAGATGCCTGTATCCACATCACAGTGCCTGGGTTTGATAAAATTGCCTTTAGTGTCTCTCTAGCATCCTACGAATGCAGACCCTCGTAAGCAGTGGTGATGGCTCAAATAACTGGGTCCCTGCCACCAACATGGGAGAATAGGATTGTGTTCCTGGCTCCTGGCTTTGGTCCTGGCCCAGTGTTGGTGATTGAAAGCATTTGGGGAGTAAGCAAACAGATGGGAGCTCACTCACTCTCTCTACCTCTCAAAAAAATCCCAAACCCCCAAACCAAAAAACTTATGCAAGGATTGAAAAAAGTTTTTTGTGCCATAATACACTTATCTTTAATTTCATTTATTCCCTCTAACTCTTTAAAGTCACCAGGTATATCAGCTTCTTTCCCTTTCCCTAGATTAGGGTGGCCAACTCAAATGATCACAACCTAAAATACAAAAGAGGGAGAAACTTTGTTCTCAGCATGTTTGTTCCAATGATAAAATCTGAAGAACTTGGTTGATTTTGTTTGGGCTAAATTTTTGGTGTACTATTTAATGATAGTAAAGTCATATTAACTACAATTTGAGGTCCAATTTGAAGCAAAATGGCTGCTAATAAACTTTCTATTGGGAAAGTCTCTATAACTTTGAACAGCTTGCAATAAAATTTTGCACAGAGAGGTCAGAAGGATGTCAGATTACACCAAGAGTGTTGGACAATTTGGAGGAACACAGATGATACTAGGAAAATATAAAATAATTACAGATCCTTTGATTTCGATGCACGTTCTTCTAATGATGGCCATTACTGACTTTGGGGCTACTCCACAATGAATCTTCATTTGGGACTTTGCACTGAACAGAAGAACCACTAATCCTGTGTTTCCATTAATGAATGTGTAATTCTAAGATGTAACAATGGCAATTCAGCATTATTCTGTGAACAAAATACTGCTAAATTCAGATAGGTGACAGTGTGTGGGCACTAATGTATATGGAGCGCTCTGTTGTAATAAGGCTGCTATTATCTTTGACACAATAATGCTGAATTCTGGACTCACCGTAGGCTCTGTTAGCTAAGACTGGACTTAACTCTTTGGGGAGTTCAAAAGTTCTCCTGCTTGTCTCCACTGTATTTTTTCTTCCTCCACTCTTTCTTTTGCTTTGTCCTTGTGTTTTGATACTGGACCCTTTGCATTCAAGTTCATCTTTATGTGTAAATACATGTTTTGCTCATTTGTCCGAGAAGATTGCTGACTTACCTTTTCATCCATCCAGTCTGGGGGCGGTGTCCCTTGTGCTTTGCCTGTGTCCCCTGTCCCGTGCCCCAGCCTATAAGGGCTCAGTAGCGCATTATTATTCCCCTCACACAGTGCATTCTCCAAGCAGCAGCAGTGCATGCTCTGGACTGAAAAAGGACACTAAACATCACCAACAATGGGCTTAGACCAGTGCATTGGTGTAACAGAGGGGCGTGCAAGGCAGGAGGAAAGTTTGGGTTCTTTTTGTCCCCGATCAGGGCCACCAGCACCCAAGGACATATGTGTTGGGCAGTGTCCATGAACAGAGCAGGCCGACCTGGGCACACACAGGTCCTCAGAGTGATGCCATCCTCCTCCATCATCTGCTCCAGGTACTCTGCTGTGGGGACTAGCTTGGAGAGGGTAGCAGTCCCATCATTGGTTTTCTCCATCACTTTTGGCACCCTCCAGCATCAGCTAATAGAGAACAGGGAAGGAGAGGCCACTGTATCCCTGGGCAGCTGTTTCTGTCAACTGGAAGGGCCATTTAAGAAAAACACGTAATTACTTTACCTGCTCTCTGCAAGCCGTGGGAAGGTAGGAGCCTGTCAGATAATGAGCTTAGGGAGAGAGAGCAGCTTGGGAGGGCAGAGATTTTCATCCACCTGAGGAGTGACCTCATCTGATCCCATCACGAAATGGGGAGCAGAGAGAAGAGCAAGGGGGTGAAGCAAATAGCCTCCTTGCAGTGTCAGCTTCATTATCTTCCCCATCACATTACAGAGTCCTAGGACATTAGGGGCTTCTAATTCACATACAGAGCTTCCAGGCCTGGCCCACCATTAGCCAGTTCTCCGAGATACAGCTCCTTCAGACAACTTGGGGCTGTGTCAAGAGCTAAACAGAGCATCTACCCTGCACGGCCATTGCCAGCTGTGAGGTCTTGGTAACTAACTCAACTCTCTGGACCTTAGGTTTCTGATGGGTAAAGTGAGAACACTGGACGAGAGGGTCACCAAGGTGCCTTTACATCCTGTACTGCTGGGAAGGTTGCTCCAGGCACAGGGGAGTTGGGAAGATGGGGTCTCTTCCAAGCTGATGGCTGTTGTGGGGAGGTGATATGGCGGCATTCCATACCTTCGTGCCCCTCAAGGGTGTGGGTCAGGCCAGAGAGCTGCCCTCCTGAGGCTGCCAGAACCAGTAACTGGGGTCTTGCCTGCAGAGGCACAGCCTGTTAAATGAAAGCTATGATGAGCTGAGTCTTCAAGGTGAGAGAAGGCACCGGCTGCAGGGGCGCCCACATCCGGGAAGAGGGTGAGACAGCCCACATGGAAGGGAAGACAGGTCCTGCCTCTGGGCCTGAGCTGGCTGGGCAGGCGTCATGTTTTTGTTTCGCATTCATTTTGACCTCAGCAAGTCTCATGATTTCTGTTCCCTTGTTTACCCTGCTTGGGCCTGGCAATCACCTTGTGTCCCAGAGAGAACGGCGGCCATATGACTTCCACCTACCGCTGCAGTCAGACTCCCCTGCCACGTCCAGTCACCCCCACATTGGGCCCCATCCCATGACTGGGATGTGATTCCTCCCCTGCGTTTTCCCTGCTGTCCAACCCCCTCCTGCCCTCTGCAGTCTGGCCTCACCTTTGCTGGCTAGATGCTGCCAGCTGGTTGTGGCCCGTGCTGTGACCTGGTGCTGCCTCCTGCTCCCTGCAGGCAGGATTTTGGTGAGGAGGACTTAGAGGGTGAGGAGGGTGAGGGAAATTGAAGGCCACCAGGCTCCAGTAGGAGCCAGATTTCAGGACTGCCCTTCATTTATTCACTCATTCATTAAGTCCTTAAGAGTCTGTCAGTAGGTGCTGGGTTTCCAGCACTGAATACACAGACAAAAGAAACACCTTCCCTGGGAAGCTGAGTGCTGAGGAAACCAGAATTAAAATAAATGAGAAAAAAAAGAAAAGAAATAAGCAAAAGCAAAAGAAAAAAAACATTTTAAAGTCGGTGAATAAATGTGGTGGAATGTAACTACTTCTGTAGGGTAAAATAAAGCTGTGAAGAAGAGAGGAAGGCCTGGGGCTGGTGCTGTGGTATAGTGGGTAAAGCCGCAGCGTGTAGAGCCATCATCCCATATGGGAACCGGTTCAAGTCCCAGATGCTCCACTTCCAATTTAGCCACCTGCTGATGTGCCTGGGAAAGCAGTAGAAGATGGCTCAAGTCCTTGGGCCCCTGCACCCACATGGGAGACCCAAAAGAAACACCTGGCTTCAGATCAGCCCAGCTTCAGCCATTGCGGCCATTTGGGGAGTGAACCAATGGATGGAACATCTCTATCGTTCTCTCTGCCTCTACCTCTCTCTCTCTCTATATATATATTTATAGGAGGAAGTCCCAGAGTGTGGATGAGCTTTGTGGTTTTACACAGGGAGGACGGAGGGCTCACTGACACAGATATTTGATTGAAAATCTGATGGACACAAGGGAGGGAGCTATGAGAAATCCGGGGAAAGAAGACTTCTGGCAGAGGGGATAGCATGTGCAAAGGCCCTGAAGCATAATTGGGCTGGGGAATTGCAAGCTGTTAAAGCAACTTATGTAGCTAAAGCTAGGGAGAGGCAGATGGTAGATCCTGTGTCAGAGAGAGAGCAGGGAGGGGTGGGGGAGGAAAGGTGCTAGGGCTGGTAGGCTGCTGCCAGAGTTCTACTATGGGTGACTTGGAGGCCACCTCAGGGCTTGAATAAGAGGAAGTCTTTAGGTGATTATATTCTCAGCTTCACTCTGACAGCGAGGAAAGGAGAAAACCAAAAGAAGACCTGGGCATAGATGGGGGTCCAGGTGGGAAGTGACTGTAATTGCACAGGGGAGACACGCTATGGCTTGGACTAGATTGGCAGGGCTGGAGGGGATGAGAAATGGTCAGACTCCAGACCGACAGGCAGAATGACCTGACTTGCTGGTGTCCTGAATGTGGCATGCAAGAGAAAGCATGGGCACAGTTGTGTTTTTGAGACTGTTGGCCTGAGCAGCTGTCGTTCATGGGCAGGTGACGGGGTTGAAGGAGCAGTTTGGAGTGGGGGTGATCAATCGGGAGCTCAGTGCTGATTTGAGATGCCTGTAGGTTATTCAAGTGGAGGGGTGGAGTCTGGAGAGGACAGTGCTTGAGATGAATATTTGGGGGCCTGCAGCGAGTAGATGGCATTGGGGTCATTAGACTAAATGTGATTATTGATAAGCAGGAAGTAGAAGAGAAAGGGTGGATAGAAGATAGATGAGAGGGGCCAAAGGCTGAGCTTCCGGCACGATGGAAGGTGAAGAAGACCAGAGACAGCTGGGAGAGAAAATTCCAGGAAAGAGGAAAACCAGTGGGGTGTGCTGGCATGTAGACAAAGGGGTTCAAGGATAAAGGAGAGGTTAGCCCTTTGCATAAGGCCTAAGGCCTAAAATGGGCTTTCATTGAGCCTCATTTTCTTCCTGGAACACCTTTTCAATATGGTTTGATTGGGGTACCTGAGTTCTCGTCTCAGCCCCAGGGATGAGTGTGTGGCTCAGGTCTGGCCAATGACAGGGATCTCCTCCCCTGGCTGCAGAGACCGGTGCAGAGATGACTGTGTGGCTCAGGCTGGGCCAATTAAGATGAACATTTTATCTTAGAGCATTTGCAAAGACTGGCTCCTTTCTCTGGAGTTGCCAAGTGTTGGGATGAAAGTCTTGGCTTTTGGCAGCCATCCTGAAAGTTTGGTGGACTCATCACTTCTCAGATGGAGAGAGAAAGATCCCTGAAAATGACATCTGAGCTCACTGTGGATACAATTTTACCTGATACCTACTGTTCCTTGTTTTTTTTTTTTTTTTAAGATTTATTTATTTATTTGAAGGGCGGAGTTACAGAGAGGCAGAGGCAGAGAGAAAGAGAAAGAGAGAGAGAGAGAGAGAGAGAGAGAGAGAGAGAGAGAGAGAGAAAGGTCTTGCATCTACTGGTTCACTCCCCAAATGGCTGCGGCTGGAGTTGAGTTGATCTGAAGCCAGGAGCCCGGAGCTTCTTTGGATCTCCCAAGCAGGTGCAGAGGCCCAAGGACTTGAGCCATCTTCCACTGCTTCCCCAGGCCAAAGCAGAGAGCTGAATCGGAGTGGAGCAGCCAGGACTTAAACCGGCGCCCGTAGGGATATCTGCACTGCAGGCAGTGGATTTACCCTCTACACCACAGTGCCAGCCTCCTGCTGTTTCTTTGGACTTGCACATTTTGTTTCCCAAGCAATAAATTCTCCCTGTCAAGCTAGTTTGACCAGGCTTCTGTCTCTTGTATCCAATGTGTTGTAACTAATGGAAGGAGATGTCTCTGAAGCCCCCTACTCAATAGTGGGGACTGTTTCTCAGAGCAGGAGTGTAGCTCTCTGTAAGAAACCTTACTCTGCCACCCCCGGACTCAGAACTATTCTTAGCTGCCTGGCACTGCTTGAGGAAGGTGGACCCAGACACGACCAAGCAGGGTCACCCCTACCTCCTCCTGGAGCAGCCGCTGACGCAGGCCTTGAATCTGGGGCAGGTAGGGTTGCCACCAGAGAAGCTGGGGGAGGGCATCAGATTCCAGCCGTGAACCCAGAGGTGGCACTGTGTGGGCTGTCAGGGCTGGGTACGAGCAGTTCCCTGGAGGTTGTGCAGAGCAAGTGGGGACCTGCTGCCGTCTCTGAAGAGGACAGGGCCAGCATCTAGGGAATGCAGAAAAGTAATGGGAGACCAGGGCAGGGGAAGCAGTTGCTAAAACAAACCGACTACTTCTGCTGGATGAGGTTTCGCTGGCCTGCAGCTGTTACTCCGGGGCCAGCCACACGCACACTGCAGCGTTGTAAAGTCACCTGGTACAGGGAGCCAGTCCTGCTGGCCTTGGGCTCTGCTGAGGGCCATTGGCCTGCTTTGAGCGTCTTCTCAAGTGTGTTGAAAGGGAAGCAGTCAGTTTTTACTGTTCTTCCGGATCTGCATGCAGATAGAGACAGGTTGCTGGGCCTGTCTCGCCTCTTTCCCATACCTGGGCTAATAAACGCATGAGTCAGCCCTGGGGAGAGCTCTGAGCTGCACACCCTGTATCCCGTCATAGATAAATTATGCGCCAGTGATCGTCTCTGGTTACCTACGCCATGGAGACCAGTCAAGACCTCAGAGAACCCTGCCCTGTGCGCACCCAACCCCTCCCGACGGTTACCTCATTGCAGGCTTCTGTGTCCCGGTTCCTTTGGTTCTTGCAGAAGACACAGCTTTCACAGCAGATCTTTCATCATCCATCTGAGATTCCAGTCAAGAACTTTCCTCCCACCACTGAGTGAATAGGAACCATACCAAGTCAATAAGCCTCATTCAATGTAGTGCCACAGAAGCTGGAATGAAATTTACTCGTTGCTGAGATAATTATAGATTGTGTGCATTACTAGGCTAAACACATTTGTAGGAAGGGTGAACTTAAAGTGTTTAGGAGAAAAACAGTTTTAAATACCATCACGTGCTTTAAAATGTCATGTTGTACCCATCACATGATGCCAGATACACCCACGTCCTCTGTATTCACAAAGGTCTTCAAAGATTCCTGATAGCCAGGGGGTGGTTTAGCCTACTTTATGTTTACTGCATAAAATGACAGAAAGTCCTATATTTCACTCTTTTTTTTTTAACATTTATTTATTTATTTGAGAGGCAGAGTTACAATGACAGGCAGAGAGAGAAAGAGAGATCTTCCATCTGCTGGTTCACTCCCCAAATGGCCATGATGGCTGGAGCTGGGCTTATCTAAAGTGAAGAGCCAGGAGATTCTCTTAGGTCTCCCACATGGTACAGGGGTCAAGTACTTGGGCTATCTTTCATTGTTGTCCCAGAGAGAAAGCAGAGAGCTGAATCAGAAATGGAGCAGCCAGGACTTGAACCAGAGCCCATATGGGATGCCAGTGCTGCAGGTCGAGGCTTAACCTACCACATCACAACACTGGTCCCCTATCTTTCACTCTTTTTGGCTAACTTACTTGGACTTTCTCCATAGTCAACTTGCAAAGGAGTGGTTGATCTCATGAATTTACCCTTCAGAAAAGTATGAGTGTACTTCAAAAAGTTCATAGAAAAATGGAATTAAAACACATGTTTATTTAAGTTCAAAAATATTTGAAATCCATGTAAAGTTTTTTTGTGACACACACTTCAAGAACTTTTTAAAGATCTCTTGTATATTTTTGCTGCCACAGTTGAACCCATCTTTGCTTCTTTTCTGTTTCTATGTGAAAGAGAAAGAGAGACAGAGAGAGATATCTTCCATCTGCTGGTTCACTTCCCATATGGCTTCAATGAGTAAGGCTGAGCCTTATCAAAGCCGGGAGACAGGAACTCCCTCCAGGTCTCCCATGTGGGTGAGGGTCCCAAGCACTTGGGTCATCATCTGCTGTTTTCCCTGGTGCATTGGCAGGGAGTTGAATGGAAGTAGAGCATCTGGGACTTGAACCAGTGCTCTGATATGGGATGCCAGTGTTGCAAGCAGAAGCTTAACCCACCGCACCACAATAGGGGCCCCAAATTCAGCTTTCTGAGACGTACAAATAAATATTTTCCAAACTCTTTACACTCTGTAAATGGGATGCAATTGTAGGTTAGAAAATTCTGGAAGACTCAGAAATAGGTTTTCTTTGTGAGAAGAGTGCTCTTCATTTTTCCAGTCTTTGTGGTTTTAGACTCACATCCTAACCTCTGCAAGACCAGCAGACTAAGGCAATGCCAGCTGCTACAACCAAACCATCCCTGCATCCTCACACGATTGTATGTATCATGCTCACATAGCACTCCAAGGCTGGGCTTCCTGTTGGGCAGCTCCTTCTCACCACGAACTTTGAAGGCCTGGCCTCTCCTCACCTTGTAACTCCATCAGGAGGTTATTTATTTATTTGAGAAGCAGAGGCATATAGAGAGACAGACAGATCACTCATCCTGTGGTTCACTCCTGAAATGCCCAGAATAGCTGGGGCTGGGGCTGGTGGAAGACAGGAGCCTGGAATTCAACTCAGGTCTGCCATGTGGCTGATAGGGACCAAATCAGTTGAGGTATCACTTGCTGCTTCCCAGGATCTGCAAATGCAGGAAGCTGGAGTCAGGAGCTGGATCTAGGAAGCAAACCCAGATACTCTGAGGTGGGATGAGAGCATCTGAACCGCAAGGCTCCATGCAGACTCCTGCCAGGTTTAACATGTGGCTTCCTGCATGGCCCCAGGGCTCTCGCATCCTAGCCAGTTGGGAAGAGAACAGTACGCAGAGGACTGCATATGGGTTTATGATCCAGACCTGGGATCCATACCTATTAACTCTTCTCATTTTCCCACTGACCAGAGCAGGACTATTGCTGGGTCATTGCCCTACCTCCTTGCAGGGGAGGCTGGGAAATTCACGTCTGCTGTCTCTCTAGTGTTTGGACAAATGCCCAATAGTCTGTGCTTTCTGTGGCTGCAGTCACGAGGCTTTTGACTCTGGTGGTGGTCATGCTTATTCCCAAAGTAGTTGGGAATATTCCTTAAGGAAGTTCCAAGAGACAGAAAAAATTCTACTATTCAGATGATTTCCTCTTTTTTCTTTCCATTTAATTTGTTTCTTAATCTTTATATCATCAATCTAACTGGAATTAGACATCTAAAATCTTGATCTCTAACAATGTCTCAAAAAATTTAGGTAGGAAAAATCTATAGCAGCAGATGTCATTTTGACCCCCTTTTCTTATAAATCATCTGGAAATGATAGTCTCCACACCAAAATATTCTAGTGGTCTGAGACAGGCATGATCAGTGCTGGTTCAAGTCCTTGTTGCTGTGCTTCCAATCCAGTTCCCTGCTAATGCATCTGGTGGAGGATGTGCCAAGTGCTTGGGCCCCTGCCACCCACAATGGAGAACTGGATGGAGTTCCTGGCCACTTGATTTGAGCTGGTCCATCCCTGGCTGTTGTGGCCATTTTGGGAGTGAAACGGGTGATGGACGATCTCTCCCATCTCCGATCCTTCCTCTGTCTCTCTGCTTCTGTGTCTTTTTGCCTTCAAATAAAAAAAGTTAAATAAATTGGACTCTTTCTCTCTCTCTCGCCCCTGCCCCCTGACTGGGGTATCATTTGTCCTGAGCACCTGACTCTCCTGATTTGCCACACTGAACCTCATGTGGTCCACCCCACTCCCTGTCTACTGTCTCCTCACTGGTGAGTCAGGGGCCACACGCTGGCGGAAGTGGAAATAGATCTCAAGCTCACCACGTTGTCACTGCGAAGTTTGTGCAGCTAACTTAACCTTCCTGAGGTGAATTAAAAAAATAAACTCATGCTTTGTTTTGTTAAGATGTGTTCATTTCTTTGAAAGGCACAGTTACAGAGAGGAGAGACGGGAGGGAGATTGAGAGATCCTCCATCTGCTGTTTCACTCCCCAAATGAGCCACGGGAAGCCAGGAGCTTCCTCTGGGTTTCTCACATGGGTTCAGGGGGCCATGGCTTTGGGCCATCCTCCGCTGCTTTCCCAGGCACATTAGCAGGGAGCTGGATTGGAAGCTGAGCAACCAGGACTGAAATGGCTGCCCAAATGCAATGGGATGTCTGTGTTGCAGGCAGAGGCTTAACCAACTGCAGACCTAAGCTGGCTCCTCCTGAGATGAAATTATTCTGAGGCGAGATTATTCTGTCAATTATTCTTCCGTAGTTCTGTGTTCTGTGAAAATGGGCTTCTTAAGTCCCATCTCTTAGGACGCTGTAAGGGCAAGGTAGGTATCGAAGGAGAAATCACCCAGCATGGGTCGGTCAGCAGCTAGACCCAGGGTCCCTGCAGAGGCCTTCTGCCCTTCTCCCCGCAGGCAAGGTAGCGGGCCAGGCCTGGGTCTGAATGGCGGGGCCTCTACTGGGAGCTCCCTCTCCTCCCCCACTCGCAGACTCCGTGAAGATCCAACCACAGCCACGGTTCTGTCCATTCAGGCAGAAATTGCAGGAGCTGAAGGCGAGGAGGGAGCCAGAGCCAGACAAAGGCTCAATTACCCCCACATGACTGCCTGCTAAGAATGCTGGCTGCAGAAGAGGCTTTTCTGCAGTTTGTTTTTGCTAGTTCTGCTCCGAGAACCCAAAAGGTAAGGCTTTCAGGCGGTAGGACGGCCGGATCTCATTGTTCCGTGTAATTCACCATCGCTAACGTCTGGCATTTTCCATGGCCACTTCTCTTGTGTGTTTCCTCGATTCAACAGCAGCTCTCTCCCCAGTTAGCACAATTTCCACTGATCAGGGCTGGCAAGCCCTGGCATACCACACACACACGCACACACACATACACACACACGCACACACACATGCACATATACACACGCCCACACATACACACATACACACACGCACACACATACACACATACACACACGCCCACACACACCCTTCAAGAAAAATTTCGCCTTCCAGGCACGGTAGGTTGGTACATTCTGTTTCTCAGGCCAGGTCTGGATACGCATAGGAGGAAGAGGAAAATCATTTCCCCAGTCCTCCTGAACTAAGTTTATGAGAATCAATTATAATCCTTAAATCTTCTCATTCTTATAGAGGCTTATTTCATACTTAGTTCTGGTATCCTACTTTGAGCCAGTCAGAGGGGAAAAAAACTTTTGCATTTGTGCTACTGCATAACCGTGCATCAACAGGATGATATTCTGGGATAAATCAGTAAAAGCTTTGGCTGTTTCGGGAGTAATCCCTAAGGTCAACAGAAGAAATGGCTTGAAGTGGATGGATAAAATTCTTAGAGTAATCCTGCCCAAGCCCTCTAGAATTCTTTTATGATGCCTTTATATATTTCAGCTTTTCACCTAGGGAGTCTCCAAAGCGCCACCCGAGAATGCGCTGTGCTGTTGCGAGGGAGCAAGGCAGCTGCCACCGGGCTTAGGCAAGAAGCCTTTTGAAAGGGTGTTGGGAGAAAAAGTCCCACTGACGCTGCTCAAAAACCTAGGGTGATGTTTCAAGCAACTTTCCATGGGACACAGCATAGTAACTTTTTGCACTTTGCTGGAAATTTTAGAGAATGCAAAATCATCCAGTGTGCCAGGCTAGCCTGGACCTAGCCAGAAACTTGTTCTGTGGACTGCCTCGCAGCAGGGTGCAATGCTGGCGGAGTGTTGGTGGGAGGTGTGGTCTGGCAGGCAGAGCTGAGGCTGCTGTGCAGTCATGGACAGTTGGTGCTGTGGCTTGGTCGTGGGTGGGCGATTTTAATGGGATTGTACAGGTTGGGATGTGTTTGCTGAAAGGGATCAAGACCAGAGGCGGAAGCTGGCATTTGAGAAGCGCAAGAGCCAGAAGCTGGGGCTGGAACTGTAGTTCATTCACTTCAGTTTCATTTCTCAACCAGACTCTTCCTTCTGGAGCTCTCCTTTCTCTGTTCCAGAAGCTCCCAGAACTTGTAACTGTGTTAGTGCATTGTCTGTTGACGTTAAGATGTCTGAGGCTGGGTTCTTTATAAAGGAAAGAAGTGTCTTTAGTGCAAGTTTTTTTTTTTTTTTAAAGATTGTTTATTTATTTGAAAGTCAGAGTTGCACAGAGAGAGGAGAGGCAGAGAAAGAGAGGTCTTCCATCTGATGGTTCACTCCCCAATTGGCCACAATGGCCAGAGCTGCGCCGATCCAAAGCCAGGAGCCAGGAACTTCTTCTGGGTCTCCACGCAGGTACAGGGTCCCAAAGACTTGGGCCATCTTCTACTGCCTTCCTAGGCCACAGCAGAGAGCTGGATTGGAAGAGAAGCAGCCGGGACTAGAACCAGCGGCCATATGGGATGCTGGTGCTTCGGGCCAGGGCTTTAACCTGTTGTGCCATAGTGCCGGCCCCTAGTTTAAGTTTTGGAAAAGGTTCCTCTGGTTCTGTCACAACTTGGCAGAGATGTGGAAAGAGAAATGGCTTTGTGCAGAAGGGGATCAAGCCTGCAGGGTGGCCTCACTTTATGATAGCTCCCTTTCTGGAGAACTAACTCACCACAAGGGACCAATGGGCAGCACCCAGTGACCTAATTACCTTGCACTTGGCCCATTTATTCAAGGTCGCACCACCTCGATGCAGGGCTCAAGTCTCCAGGATGTGAACCGTTGGGGAACCAGCTAC